ATGCACCCCTAAACGGAAAGGTGCCCACCCCTTTAGCCCCTGCCGTCCTGTCGCCCAGGCAGCAGCTCTCATGAGAAAAGAGGGAGAAGGAGCGACGCCAGCGCATTGTCTGATTCGCTGCGCAATCCTGCCTGCTTCAAAACCCAGGCCCTGGGCCAATCAGCGGATGCGATGGCCCTCCATCGCAACGAAAGACAAGGGAAAGAGCAACAACCACCCCTAAAGTGGGCCCCTGCCACAGTAACACACACCTTTCCGTCTCACCCCTGCCCTTTGCCGGCCACTTTTGCATTTTTTCTCGCATTTTATTTAATTCATTCACAAGGAGATCCCTTCCTCATGGGTTCTTGAGGCCTGTGTTTCGGGTCGCTCTCTCACTCATAGACGGAGGTCCAGTGGCTAGTCCCTGTAAAATGCATCTCGCTGGCATACATAAGAATAACACAGCTCCCTTCGCCGGCGCCCCAGCTTCGAATGGAGCTTTGCGATAAGCTGTCAAGAGCTGTCCATCTTGGTCCTCATTGACGTAACTGCCTCGTTTTTGTTTGTGCAGTTGGGTCGATCCTTCTTGTTATTATTGTTTTAAATTCATCCACTTGAATCGTTGTTTCCTTTTCCTCACCGACAATTTACCGACTCTGGCCTCTCTCACGCGGAAGCTGCGCATATCCACACCCATCAACAAACGCAGTCGCTCCTTCCGTTTTTTGCAAACGTCAACAAAGCAACAGCTCGCTCAATTTCCTCTCACTTCGCTCTCTTGCCGTCTCTTCTACCCCTTTCTTCCTCTTTCATACTCAAGCCTGCCCAATATATAAAAGGCGAAAACTTCCTTTTCCTAACCTCCCACCTCTCCGGATCCCTTCCCTTCAACTGCATCTCGTCGGCTCACGCCAACCCCTCGATTTGCAGCAGTGCCGTCACAAGTAGAACAAGAGTGAAAAAAGACAAAGTGAAGCTCTTGCACGAATCGTCGAAGCAAATTCAAGCTTTTTGTTGTTTTGCATTCCCTTGAGCAAAACGAGCTCCTCTCCAAGAAGCAACTATTTTCTCTACGCCTCATCTAATCTTTTGGCTTGTTACGGGCCATTAGATCGACCTTGATAGTTGATAGTCGATCTTTGCACCTCCCAAAACGAATCGTCGTTGCCGGAGCTGCACTGCTGGGAGAGACATTGACTTGTTTATCTCCCACTTTTTTTTGGTAGGATTTCATCTTTATTTTTGCTTACTTCTTTCATCGCCTTCGCTTTTTTACCTTTCTCATTGCAAGTGGTGCCCAAGATCGCAAGCCGTGGTTCAGAAGATCATGATGGGGCTTGTTGTTGCCTCTCACCATATTCGCCACCTATCAGCCTGGACCGTCCCCGCCTTCATGATCCGCCACACCACGCCACATATTTGCCATTTGCGATTTTGTTGGAATATATCAATTCGAGTATCCACGACTGCTAACATTTCGTGCTTGCATAGATCTCGTTTCACAAAACCTTCTACTTTGCGCTTTCACTTCCCCCTCCCTACGCAGATTTCCCGGTTTCCAGTATGGAAGCTATTCATACACATCCCGTGAATGCGCTGCAGGCAATGGCGTTCACGGCACCTGGGTCGCTCTCGTTCCCTGGCGGCCACACCGAGCTTACGCCACCACACGACTCGCTTGACAGTGCAGCAGTCGACAGCAGTCAGGAGACAATAACGAGGCAACCGAATTCAGCTGCGAGCTCGTTTGCTACTGGTGGCTCGGATGGCGGTGCAGCAAGCAACGGTGTTGTTACGCCGGCTACGCCTGCCGCGACCCCGTCTGCCGTGACGAGCGGGAGCGGCTTGGTCCCGGTGCTACAGTAAGTATACGTGTGGCGCCGTTGACACACCGAAAACGCGGAAACAGTATTTGCTCACATTTTAGGAATATCGTCGCTACAGTCAACTTGGACTGCCGACTGGACCTCAAGACCATTGCTCTGCACGCACGGAATGCAGAGTACAACCCAAAGGTAGGCAGTGCTCGGTGTGAGTGTGTGAGGGTGTGAGAGTGCGAGGTGTTGTGTTGTTGCTCGGCCGTTCTTTGTTTGCTAACATGGCAATGCAGCGTTTCGCAGCAGTTATCATGCGGATCCGCGACCCCAAGACGACGGCGCTCATCTTTGCCAGTGGAAAGATGGTTGTGACCGGCGCAAAGTCCGAAGACGACAGCAAGCTGGCGTCGCGCAAGTACGCACGGATTATCCAGAAGCTAGGCTTTGACGCCAAGTTCACCGACTTCAAGATCCAGAACATTGTCGGCTCATGCGACATCAAATTCCCCGTCCGGCTGGAGGGCCTGGCCTCGCGGCACCACAACTTCAGCTCGTACGAGCCGGAGCTCTTCCCCGGTCTGATCTACCGCATGATCAAGCCCAAGGTCGTGCTCTTGATCTTTGTCAGCGGCAAGACGGTGCTCACAGGCGCCAAAGTCCGTGAGGAGATCTACCAGGCCTTTGAGATGATCTACCCTGTGCTGCAAGACTTTCGCAAGGTGTAGCCGTGTACGGGTATTCGGAAACTCTGTATGATTCTACGTTGCACCGTGTCGGCTCGTCGTTGTTTCGACTGCGAAACGTGCCACCATTGTCGTTTTTAATGTCTTTTACTTGTGCTTTTCTTTGCTCTTACTTGCAGCATGGCAGCGGCGTTGGTTGAGTACGTTCACACACAAAACGGAGTTCCGGAAAGGATCAAGGGCACTCATCGATTCAATATGCTTCGTTTTAATACATATTTTATGACACCTCTACGCAAGTGGTCTCTAATGTATACAATGTCTGTGACGCCTTATGCCTTGGAGCTCTTCGACAGCTCGTCCTGCAACAAGAGACCCGGCTTGCCACCACGGCTGCCGTCTTCCGTGACAACTGTCGCCCATCCGAGGTCGGCGATACTCGCACCTTTGTCCGCTTGTCGCCGCCACGCCCATTTGTCGGCAAATGCTGCCGGCCGTTGACCGACGAGACAATCGACAACCTTGTCACCCAGAACAGGCAGGAACTTGAAAGCATGGCCGCTCCCACCGGTGGCCAGAAATAGGCCTTCAAGGTCCGGGTGGTAGTCTACCACAAAGTCGCCCGTCGGCGTGTCCGTGTACCAGCAGATTCGGGTCTTGGCAAAGGGCCGGTCGACCAGCCCAGGCACAGGCACCATCTGCTGCAGGCCACGGCGCAGGTCGGCCTCGCCTTCCGCCGGAATGTTGAGCTGCGGGTTGTCGAGGTGTGTCAGCGGCTTGGACACGCCGGCTCCGGTTTCAGGTGATGCCGGGTTGATGTACCCGTAGGAATGCCGCGCCACTTTCAGTTCGCGGCTCCCGGGCGCCGGCGGGATCACAAACAGGCCGGACGTTAGATTGAGCACAACAGGCATGGAGGCCACATGCGCATGCTCCTCTTCGTTCACCAGCGGCACGTACCCAAGCACCTGGCCCGTGGCAGCCAACGAGCCGGCCAACGACGTCCCGCCGACAAGAGACTCCGTCCAGGCGCCCGTTGCCGCAATGGTCAGGTCAGCCTTGAGCGTCCGGCCGTCTTCGAGGCGCACTCCGACGACTTTGGATCCGTCCGTCTGGATCTCGAGGGACGCTACCCGGCCGCGCACAAACTGAACGCGCCCGGCCGCCTGCACCCGCCGCAGGACCCAGGCCATGCTGGCCGCCGCGTCCGCCCAGCCGCTCGCGCCGTTCAGGTAGCCCCAGTCGCCCGTGGTGCCACCCGTCCCGACAACGGCACGGATGGCCTCGGGGTTCGGTAGTTCTTTGAGCTTGGTGGCCAGGTACGCGTCTTTGGCAGCCAATGCCTGCACATTGGCCCAGCTCTCGCGCACATAGTCCATACCGGACTTTTTCTTGGGTCTCGACGGGTCCTGCTCTTTCTGGGCAGCAGCATCGTCCGGTGCGTCGGCCACTACCACGAGTCCGCTTTCTGTGTACCGTCCGCCACCGCCAATGTAATCGTCGTCGTCCTCATTTCCTGCACCAACAGCGCCTGGGCCGGGCCGCTTGCTTCCCCGCCAGTACACCTGCGCCTCGTCGGCCAGTGCCGCATACGCAGGGTCAGCGTAGTCGGCGCGGATGATGCGCGACGTGTCGATGCTGGCAGCGTCGCGGGCCGGGAAGTGCTTGGTGTCGTCCTCGCCTCCCACATCGCCCGACCCGCGGTCCACCACGGTAATGGTCGTGCGCGCAAACTCGGGCCGCCGGCTGAGCGCCTCAGCAGTGCTGAGGCCAAAGACGCCACTGCCCAGGATCAAGATGGACGTAGGTGTTGAGAATGTCATTTTAAGGGCGTGCGTTTGTGGTGACGGTTCGACAATAAGTGGGCCAGTTCTTGCAGCTTCGTCGTTTGTTCTTTCGACAACTCCGTCGTCTACGTGTTGAGCGTGGACGACGTCGTCTTTTATAGCTATGTCCGTAGAGACATGTCACTGATCAACATTACTCCACTATTTCAACTCCTCTGCTGAGACGGTACCGTCCGCCGTCGATATCGGCAGCCAATGTCCAAATAAATGCGAAGAAATCGTTCCTTCCCTCTTAACCGATGGCCACAATTGGTGTAAAATGGAGCAGGTAGTAGACTCCCCACTGTAGACGGTCGTGACTGCCGTGTCTCTGGCCGTCGCTAGCCGTAGGGGAACCCACGGCTAGCCCACGCCCAGGAAAGATCCACTGGAACCATCCCAGCGCTCTTTCCCAGGGCTCACAAGGCAGGTTCACCGCGAGACGGCAGGCACACGAAAATGTGCGGAGCCTCCCTAAAACAACGAATCGCGATTTCGCAACGAGCACAAATAGCTTCAATCAAAGACAGCATTCACGACAGCATACGCCAGCCACGCCAACGTACACCACGATGCACCATTTATTATAACGACTCCCACCTCAATGGAAATGACAGCGAACAGCAGTGCGTCTGCAAGACCCACCTGACGCGCTCCCGACCAGTGGCGTTTCCCCCAACCAGACGAGCACGATGTCGTATAACAACAATGAAAACAGCAATGGCGGCTTCAACGTCCGCTTCCCAGCAAAGCAGCCCGCGAAAAAGTCCATCTTTGAACGCCAGCGCGCCGAAGCGGAGGCCAAACGCAAGCGGGAAGCGGCTGAGACTGCTGCCGTATACGAGGACTTTGTAAAGAGCTTCGACGATGGCGGCAGCGCGCCAGCGATGTCTGAACCGAAGCAGCAGCAGCACAGCCAACAGCCTTTCTCGGCCTCTCTACACCAACCCAAGGGTGGATCGACTGCCGGTGCGACAGGCGGCCGCAGGCACTTTAGCATACCTGCGTCCGCACACGGAGGCATTCGACATAGCGGTCCAGGCAACAACAGACCCCGCGATGGACGGCCGGACCGACTGAGCGATGTACGCACCCGGCTTGCCTTTGGTGACGACGACGATGGCGATGACGACGACACCGTCGACCGCGAGAATGGCGACAGAACAAGAGGCAGAGACAATGACGAAGAGGGCCAGGTCGTGGAGGACGATGGGCCTCGGAACTTGACGTCTGGTGCCATCGATCGAGCGGAAGAAAAGGCCGCCTCAAAACCGACCATGCGTCTCGCCAACATGCCGCCCGGCACCTCACCCGCAGCCATTAAGGCCCTTGTGGTCGGCAGCAGCCGTCTGACCGTCAACAACGTCCGCATTCTCCCTTCGAGCGGCACGGCATCGACCGACCGTAAGTCGGTCGCCGCTATTGTCACGCTCGCGGCCGAGACGGCGGCCAGCGACATCGATGCCGCCGTCAGTGCCATGCAGAACCGCTACCTGGGCTTTGGCTACTATCTCACCCTGCACCGACACCTCTCTTCGGCTGTGGTGGCAGCATCGTCTACATCCATGGCAACAGGAAGCAGCGCTTCTGCGCAACCTTTTGGTGCTCGGCCTGTCTCTCCGGCGTCAAAAACCGACAATGCTCCTTCTACGGGTTTTGCGCCGCCCGGGTTTTCCCAGGGTGGCGGGCGCTCCTTCCAGGGTGGCCGTGGGATGGGCATCCCGCCACCCGCTACATACAACAGTCCAGGCACCGCCGGTGGCATTGCCCATCGCGAGGGCATTCTCCACGTGCCCGTGCGCGCGCCGCGTGACATCAAGAAGCTACGTATGATCCACAAGGTCATTGAACAGGTGCTTGACCAGGGTCCCGCGTTCGAGGCCTTGTTGATGAGCCGCCCCGAAGTGCAGCTTCAAGAGAAGTGGGCCTGGCTGTGGGATGCCCGGTGCGAGGCCGGCGTTTGGTACCGCTACCGACTGTGGGAGACCGTCACGGGGCTCGGGGCGCAGCATGAGAAATCCAAAGGCCACGCCAAAGGCGGCAAATACGTGCCCCTCTTTGAAGGTGGCCACGCCTGGAAGACGCCGGACAACCCGCTGCCTTACGAGTTTGACACGAGTCTGACCGAGCTGGTCAGCGATTCGGACTACGTCTCGTCCGATGACTCGGACGCCGAAGGAGCGGAAAACACAACAGCAGCGGCTGCGGTGACGGACGACGACCAGGAGACGTTTTTGAATCCCCTTGAAAAAGCACGCCTGACTCATTTGCTGGCGCGTCTGCCAACAACCCTGTCCAAGCTGCGCAAGGGTGACATCGCCCGCGTCACGGCCTTTGCTATTACCCACGCCAGCCGCGGTGCCAACGAGATTGTCGACCTGATCGTCGCCAATGTTGAGCGGCCTCTGGCCTACACGGCCGCCAACCCAGATTACCGGGGGAAGCAGGTGGATGAGCATGCCCATGCCGACGGTGGAGGCGATGCTCTTGCCGAGGCTGACACCACTACCAACACCGACACCAGCAGCGCCCAACTCATCGCCGTCTACGTCGTCAGCGACATCTTGTCGTCCTCTGCCACCAGCGGCATCCGGCATGCCTGGCGCTTTCGCCAGCTCTTTGATGCCGCACTGCACCGCCGCAATGTTTTTGCCCTGCTTGGTCGCCTTGCCAACAAGTTCGGCTGGGGGAGGATGCGTGCCGAAAAGTGGAAGCGCAGCATCGGGCTGGTGCTCGGCCATTGGGAGGGCTGGTCCGTCTTTTCAGCCGAAACCCAAGCCTTCTTGGTGTCGAGCTTTGAGAATCCGCCGTCGGTCGGGAAGAGCGGCGACAACGACGGCGACGAATTCCCACCAGCAGCCGCCGATACGACGACTGAATCCACCAAGAAGAGTCGATGGAAGACGGTCGAGACGACAGCTACAGCGCCCACAGCCGATGGGCCAGCGGCATCAGGATTTCGTATCGTGGATGACGCGAGCGCGAGCAGTGCTGCAGACGGAGGCCAGATGGTCGTCGATAGTGAGCATGACACAAGCGTAAAGGAGGGCGCCACCACCTCTGTCACCGCCTACAACACAGACAATAACGACGACGACGAATGGGCCTATCGCTCCGACTACACCGACGACGAGGCACTTGACTTGGCGTGCATGGATGACGAGGACATTGATGGCGAGCCTATGGGAGACATTGAGGAGACGCATCTGCACGGCATCCCTCTGACTATGGAAGAAATTCGAGCTCTCGTGGACGACCTGGACGACGAGATGAGCGAAGAGGGCGAGATTGCGACTGACGATGAGGGCGACGAGGACAAGGACGATGACTACGAAGCCTACGGTATATCTGATCGGTCGAGTGGTAGTGGTAGTGAGAACGCCTACAGCAACGACAACGACAACGATGGTGGTCTTCCTGGCAACTCACGCGACATTGCAATGCACGATGCGCCTCATGCACAAGGAACGGCGGCATTGCCGGCGGCTGCAGCTGCGGCCACGTTCATCGGGGAACGCAACCTGCCTCGGACACGCCCAGAACGCCAAGAACGCCAAGAACACCTAGAACACCAAGAACAGCCAGAACAGCCAGAACAGCCAGAAAAACTAGAACCACCCGCAGACACTGTGCATCCGACTGAGATCACCAGTGCGTCCTCGGCCCTTCCCAGGCCATCAGCCAGACGGACCTCATCCGTGCAGACCCCGCAACCGACCAGCACCGTCCGTATGCAGGTCGGCTCGTCGTCGACCGCTGCATCGACTTTCCCGCCGCGCAAACGTATGCGAGCCGCCGATATGTTTGACGACTCGGGCGACGAGGGCCAGTCATAGAGGAGAAGGCGCTCCAGGGAACAGAGCTGCCCCTTGTTGACTTTGTTGACCTTGTGCAACACAGACCAGCGCGTGGCGGTCTTGACTAGACCAGGAGAGGCAGGCCACCGAAACGAAGGCCGAGAGGAGGCCGAGAGGGCAACTAGGGCTAGCCGAAGGAGAAGGTGACAATATGAAGAGATAGTAAACAGAGAGGCGATACGGAAAGCGACACGAAGAGAGACAAGGAGAACAAAGGGGATGTGGGTGGGTGGCAGTACACCTCTCCTTTATTTGTCTTTTCGGTTATCTTTTGGTGTGACAACAACCTCCTTTTTTACTTTTACTGTGAGACAAAAAGCAAATACATTATGATACCCCAGTTTTTTGGTTTATTTTTCATGTTTTTTAATGGCGCCCACATCCGAGCAAAACAAAGTGGGCGAGCAACGGGGGTTGCACTGCTGGCGAGGCCGTCGGGGTTGTTGAAGTAACGATGGCGTCGTGGTACCGTGCTGTCTCAGGCTCAGACATGGTATGCGGCTTTTGTTGACTTTTCTTTGATCGCCTTTTGTGGATTTCACCCGTTCTTCAGCTCTCTTTCCCCCTGTTTCCCACTATCCAATATCACTCGCACCTCGTGTCGCCGGGCCCCTTCCTCTTCTTTTTTACCTCTACTCTCTTCTCTCGTTCCCTTTGTTTCTGGGCCCACTTTGTCTTTCCAAGTTCCTCCTCCACTTCCCCTTGTTCGATCTTGCAGCAAGATATTACAAGTGGCACAAGATGTGCGGCAAAGCAGGAGGAATAAACAAGGAAGGATGAAGGGGGACTATTGAAAGAGGGGGCGGAGGGGAAGGGATAGACCAATGTGTCAAGGGAATGCATCCAAAGGACCGCGAACAAGGGTCGACCAACGGCAGGCCAGAGACGGCGGGAAGACCAGAATGCCAACGAACCAACGGACCGGTTCGTTGCATGGTCCATCAGTGCTTGCCACTTACCTCCCCATCCCCGGCCATCACCATATTGTCCTTTCCTCAGGACGGTAGGCGCGGTACGAGACTACAGGGCCGGGGGAGGGGATAATGAACAAGTCGACAGGCCGTGTGTTGTCATTGGGAGCAGCGACTCAGTCGAGTCTTTCGAGTCTCCGCGGAGAGTACCAGACATGAAAAGCTCATCAGAATATCGAATATAGAACCGAACCAACCCAAAAGCGACTGCAACCAGGAAAGGCACCCGGGGAGCTTTCCATCCTAAACCGGTCACGAGGGGAATTCTCTTTTCTGTCTGTATTCCAGCTCAGCGACCAGTATCCCACGTCGGTGACTCTCGATGGGTACTTTCTTTTGCGGCCACGGCGCCGCCACTCTGGGACCACGCGGTGCACATCCCCTTGCGTCTTTTGCGTTTCGTTCCCGACCTAAGCGGCAGTTGTGGGTAACTCGTGTCCAGAAGAAAAACCAAAATGGAATAACAAAAAAAGGAGAACCCATTCGTCCAATATTAGTGTCGACTTTGTCCTTCCACCAGTCCTGTTCAGTGCCGCCATGTCATGTAACGTCAACACGGCGTACTGGACGCGGGGGGAAGAGATGGTAGTTTTGGAGGCTAGGGTGGGATCCTGGTAGGAAAGACCAGAAACGGATCTGGAGTGTTACCAGCTTGTCGTGCGTCTCATTGATTTCTGTTATTTTTTTATGTTTTATTTATTTGCTTTTGGGCCATTCACACGGTCGACATTTATTTCGGTGGGGAGCTGGAAAAAACATAGAAAAGGAACGAAACACGGCGTTCACAGAAAAAGGGCCAAGGACGCAGAGGCGGGATGCATGGGCTCTCTTCCCCACGAGACATGGCTTGGCTTTTGTACTCCTTGGGTCACCTTTTGATCTCATTTTTGTTTTGGCAGTTCTTCCCGCCAGGTTTGTATTACGTACGGTATACTTGTGCGAGAACCATACAACGGTTCGGGTGAAGCCCGAGGACGAACAGAAGAAAGAATAAAAACAGAGGCAAGATTAACCATACAAGCCAACGTGTTTTTTAAAAGATAATAGAAAAATAAAGCTTTTTTTTTGTTAAAGAAAAAATATTTAAGTGAACGACGACAAGGGCTATACGACCAACAAATATAAAAAGCAACCTTACAATTAAAAATCGGAATAAACGGGGACTAAGACCCCTTGCTGTACTGTTTTGCCCTCTTTACCCTCGTTGTCTTCTTTAATCCAAGGACTCCAACGCCGGTTGCTCTAATGTGTCCAGTCATATTCCAGGCAGGGCAAGTTTACTCGAAACAGGGACACGCAAAGTTGGTGTCTGACCCGGCTCCCGCGACAAGAGGCAAAAATGATAGAGGGGAAGAAGGGGGAGCAGGGACGTGGCATGGTAAGGATCAATACTTGGAACCTCTTATTACTTTCACATTTGTGATGTTCATACTGTCAAGTCTCTCCAGGAGTGGGTATGAATATAGAAGAGTTGACCCGTAAGATATGTGACAGGCGAGAGGCAATAAAGCCGGACAAAAAAGAGTCCCTGCTATGAAGCTGTGAAAGGGATTTTTTTAATAAAAAAAGAAAAAAGAAATAAAGAATGAATGAATAGCGGTGTCCCTGCAAATCCGACAACCTGGACAGCCCGTCCTCCCAGCTTGACGTCTGCGCGCACCACGTCGTATGCCATCCAGCTTCTGCCCTTTTGTTCCTACCTGTATTGTCTTCTGCATGGATCACACAACCACGAAGGTTTGTGATCCATTCTTAATTCAAGATTGGAGCACAGTGTTTTCCATTTGTCGTCTTGTATGCACTTGCCTCCTCTGCTATCAATACGCAAGCCCCTTGCCTATAATGATTACAATACAGCCGGTTGCGTTTTCTCTCCAACGAACTACCACTGGAAAGCGCAAAGCGAGCCGATTTCACACCTGCGCTCTTGGCGCCGGCTGCGGGTCGCAATTGCCTTGTCCAACTCTCTTGAGACCCCCAAGCCCGTAAAAATTGGCCCTGGAACTCCGTTCCCCACCTTTCCTGAGCCGTGTGGGCCAATGGAAACTTGCTCATACTGAAGTGGGGCCGTTTTCTGTCGTCACCTCCTTCCCCCCCAAGCGACCCCAAAAAGCACCCGTGCGATGTGTTGTGCGACACCCCATTATTAAAAAAAGTTTGGAGATCCCTAATGTCGAAGGCCATGTGAAATTGAGTCTCGATGGCTCTTGCCTATTCACGAAGGAAATTTTGTCCCCTTTCCCACGCCAAACAGAAGCAACCCAATGTTCATTTTGGCAAATGTCGAGAAAAGGAAGGACCGTTGCTGCTGCCCATTGATAGTTTTGTTAGGTTGGAAGGTGCTGCCGCGCTGATTGGAAAGCTTCCTCTCATGCGTAAGATCGGATGTCATGTAGGACGAGCTCCGAGTGCACATATCAGAACGAGGTTTTGTCAACGCTGGCCTGGCTAGAGTGGCCTAGCCATGTCGCCATTGCCGCCCTCTTTGGGCTGTTCGGAACCTTCACCGGTAGTTGGCGGTTGGAGAGATGGAGAGATTGGATGCACATTGATTCAATGCACTTCGCGGTCGTTCCTGCCTCGTTCTTTTCTCGTGTTGTTCGAGGGCAGTCGCCAAAAGATCGCCCCTTCCCGTTGTCGAGCCGTCTGCTTGTATTCGTACAGCAACTGCGATGTATGTAGCGAGATACGTGTTGCACTTGCCTTTTAGTGCGCGGCTGGCGTACTTTGGATACGAAAGGTGAAAGAGCGACTCATAATATGTCGTAGATCCATTTTAGCTGTGGCGTGTTGGCGGTTTCCTTCCTGTTTCGGAGGGCTGACAGACCCAAAAAAGGGAAAATCTCTAGCGGCCTACACCGGATCGTTTCTCTTCACTTTCGTGGACTTCTTCCCAGCAATACTCCGTACCTCGTAAACATCAACCCGGCGACAATTGTCGATTCTGCCTCCCTCGTCCTCCTCCGCTGCAGTGCCCTCCACCCGACGGGCCCTCTCATCTCTCACTGTCCATCATCTTGTCTGCTTCTGTCGCTGGTCGAAACATCAAGAAACAGACCAAGAGGGGGCTTGCTGCTGCACGGACCTGCACCATTGCACCAGAAACGAGAGCCGGGAAAACTAAGGACGAACAAGGGTCTTGACCTGACCTCCTCGTCTTGCTCTGACACCCCTCGACTTTTGCTCTTATTTTCGTTCTTATTGTTGTCGTCTGTTCTTTCTTGTGTTGTTTTGCTTTGTTCTCATCGGAGTACTGCGTATTCCTTCCTTTCTTTCGGCATCACCTGGCCTTTTCAACGTCTTCGGCCTTGTCGTTACGACGTCCACGACTTCTACGTCCTCCTCTCGCCATTTCTTACAACAGCCTCACAAGCGACGTCGTGTGCAGGCATCCCCGCCGCTCACCAACCGCACTGCGACCTCGACGATTCACGCTCCTCCATACAAGGAGCCCTATCCACGTCCTCGGCTTCGGCTTTGCCTTTACCTTTCGGTCACGTCTTTCCCGCTGCCCACGTCTCTTCATCCCGCATACCACCCTGGCCTACCTCTCACCCCTCACCTCTTCTCACTCTGCGGACGCGCTCGCTTTCCCGGGCCTCTGTCTCTGTCCCTCCCTGTCACTGCCTGTCAGCCTGTGACCGCTACCTTTGTTTGTCCTCTCTCGCGGTCAACCCCCCTCTTCACATTTGCACGCTGTGTAGGCAGCCTTTCTCCCTTGCTCCCTGCTCAGCTCGTGGTTTTTGGTAATACGCCCGACTTATATATATTGGATTCCTTCTGTATATTGCCGCCACCCGCTTGAACAACTTACGACGACTTAAAAGACTAACGCCAGCTCGAGCCGCCCCATCCCCATATCTTCTTCCTAAGGGCTGCTTTGCTGCTGTTTATACACCTGCAAACTGCATCGTTTGCATGGAAAACTGCCTCACCTTGACAGCCCACCCCAAAGGTTGAGCAAGTTTCTGCAGTGTCCTCATTGTTTTGCACACTCTGCACCCGTCT